GGGAGATAGGACGAAATTCTCCAGGTACATTAGGTTTAGGAATGGGTACAATTCGTGCCATTTTCCATGCTTTTGGAAAGATTCCGTAATTTAGATAAGTGTTAAACAGTTGTTCTATATGTTCAGGTATAAGCTCCCGTTTTCGATATACAGTAAGACCCCGCTTAACGCTGCCTCTATTAACGATGATGTGAACTCTGATGTGAACGTTTTTCAACAATACATTTGGGTTTTCTGCAATTCTCAACTACAAGTCTAACTTCTTTACTTTCTTTATGTATTTTTGCAAATGCAAATAATATTGGCATTCCTTGATTCGGGTTATGAAATCCTTTAAGGAGAGTTAATATGGAGCTTAATGGTGCTCTTTCAAGTTTTTAACTCTTCTGTCTACGTCTGTAATAGTGTTTTCATTGACCCGCTCACATTCTGTTCTTTTAATGTATTTTTCTAAGGATTTGTTGTAGTTTTATCTTTTCATGATGACTAGGTGTTTACTTTTGTCAGGAGTGGCGTTATTCACCCACAGTGGATAACGCGACCTAACAAGACTTGTTGGTCGTGGTCTGGATCAGTCATGCCAACGGTTTGCCACGTTGAGTTTTACGAGTTTTCTTCATGTTAATAACACCTAAATACGAGCCAATACTTGTAAGAAGATCTTCCGGGGGTATAACCCCTGGTTAGATCTCGTTGTATATGTAAGAACGCCGATTGGGGGGGGGGAGATTTTTATTCCCTACCGTCGGGATGGTCTAAGGTCTTAGCGTATGTGGGTGGCGGTTTTTTAAGGCAGCAAAGACAAGTGTTTACAAAGGTAAACCGTTTATTCCGGACGATAATGCTTACATAATTTTTGTTGGCAAAGGTCCTTAAGTTCAGAACTTCGGGTTGTCTTCGTAAGTTGTTTTCGGTGTCGATCTGGTCCTACGCTGGAAGGTTTTCGTCGGCGATCTGGTCTAGCGTCGTCGGGGCCCCTGGACAATGTTGAATGAGAAGTTCGAGATCTGCAGTGACAGCACTCGAAAGATGAAAAAAAAGCACGACAGCTGTCGACAAACGAACACAACAGGTAGTCTACGTGGAAAAGTCTTAGAGGAAGTCTTAGTGGAAGTCAGTGGAAGTCTTAGTGGAAGTCCCGATGTCCTTGAATTTTGCGTTTTTATAGGATTTTGCGATCGGCTCCTTGTCAATTGGATAGATCTTACATCACCGTTTTCCAATTGGCCATCCACCTGACTCCAGGTGTAAATGGAGCTTCGTTAAGTTCGTGGAAAAGGTCGGCTGGAGATGGTTTATCCGACACCATCTTTTCGAATCTGATCGTTTAATTGTTAACTATGACACCTTCGCTCATCTAGACATTTTTTTATCTAGTTTCGTTTTGCTTTCTAAACTGCGTCTTAACTTTTAATATTTTAAATTTCTTCTTTTATATCTAAAATTTTGTTTTCCCGTCAACTTTTGATGAGCGTCGACGTCAAAGTCGGGTGTCGCCAATTCGACACTTATAATTTGCTTTCCTGACGATTTAACATAACAAATTTTTACATATCTTTCCTTTTTTTTAGGGGGAGGGGCTATTTCCAGGGCCTCACATATACAATAACGATGACCATATAGAAAATTCACTAGATTAAATTTATGCATGATAACTGTATTTACGATAAAAATAATAATTCTGTTTTGTCAAAATAAGTAATAGTAAGCAAGCCTACGACCCACCGGAAAATTCCCGATTTTCCGTGGGTAACTCCACTACTGTAATGACTGGCAGTGTATGGTCTTTAATGACGAAACACTATATAAACAGTTTGGTGCAGAGACCACCGCTAGAGACACTGTTAGCAAAATATGGAGTTTTCTAGTCTGAAAATCCTCATGGGGTTACAGTTGATATGTCGTCTACCAGTTTTTGATGAACGTGTAAAGCGTGTATGCAAGACGTATCAAGTTTGCCCTAAGAAGTCAGAGCCTCTCGTGATTTGAAAATATCCAACCAGATAGTGTGGAAGTGTTAAGAGAACACCTTCACACAGTTAATCAACAGTTGACTTTAACGAGTATTATTAGCAAGTTACAACCTCAGCCACACCTGATACCTTATGCAAAGTCTGGTAGGAGTTGTACAGTGTACCGCGTCAAACAGGGAATTCACATGGAGTCATTGTAATGTACAGTAATGTCAAAGATTGTCAAACCAGGATGTATTGTTCATCATACGATAAATAAATCGTACAGTACTTTGATATTTGCATAATTAATTTTTGAAAAGAATCAGAATATTTTCATATATCAAGTTGGAAATATACTATAAACAGCAAATCTCCAACGTCAAATGATCGTTTTAAGAGCTTATGTACTTATTACTTACAAAGCAGGTATATTGAAATAGCTATTTTAGAGTCCAAACAATCGAACGCACGCACTATTAGCGCGGTACGACAAATAATTATTATTCATTACATTATTAAAATTTGACTCTTTCTATATAAAAATAACCGGTAAATGCTTAACTATAATTGAAATTCAATTGAATAACCACCCTAAAAAAGTTAAAACGAAACTAATTTATCCGGATTATTATTCTATAATATCAATAAGTTCCGTTAGCGGCAACTCCTGAAGGGTTTTCTAAATCAGGTCCATGATAGATCTGTCCAGGCCCATAATAGGAGTGGACAAGCATACCTTGGAAACATCAGCCCCAGAAAATAATCGGGGATGCTGGTTCGATGTCAGGTTCCACAGTATTGTGAGCTGACTGACACCTTCGATCCGGTATTGATGATTATAACATAAAACTTGCAATTAAACCTAACACAGAAATTTTATTGTTAATGTAAATCAATACAGAAATATCTATACGAAATCCTACTATTCGAAACAAATGCGATAAATCTGTAATTATGAGTTTCGTAATTAATCATTTAAAATATACAATTGTTCATATTAGAATTTTGTATGCATTTGCAATTAAGAAAACGGAATAAAATAAATTATATTGTTTTATGTATAGAACTTAGCAATAGTACATAAGAAATAAATAATATTCTATCCACAATTTGAGCAATTATTTGCCAGTTTTCATTTTTCGTTATTCGTTGAAGAGGAGCTAATTTGTCTTGATTTTCGTACAAATTCACTTTGTCTACTGGTTTCGCTTCCGTGTAAACTGAATTAGGCCTAATTATTAATAATTTAGCGACAGGTTCCTGAAAATATGTTGAGGATAAATTCGGGAGGTTCGTAATTTTCAATGTATCGAAAATTAAACGAGTTAGAATATAACAAACTATTTATTTCTATGACTCGTATATTTCAAAATGTAACTCACTCTCTAGTCCTTATCATGTATGGTTTTAACTATAAAATTCGAACACCTTAATTTAACAAAAGTTAAATTTTATTAATCTAATAGACTATAGAGCAGGCATGGCCAACATACGGTCCGCGGGCCAGATCCGGCCCGTCTAATGAATTTATGTGGCCCGCGATCAATTTTTAAATATCAGGTACTGAAGTCCGATGAAAAATTCTGATGCCTAAAAAAAAATCAACAACTCACTGTGCGTTTGGAGTTAACCCTCCATTACAAATCTCGTAAGTACAGCGTAAAGTGTTATTAAAGCATGTAATGTGAAAAATGTATCTGTAATCTCTATCTACAATTCAGTCTCTACGGGGTGACACCACAATGAGATCTCGCACCACCTCAAAATCTTCCTTGGACAGCCTCTGGTTCGGCCTGTGGAAAAAGTTTTCTTTCCAATTCGGCCTGGGGGCAAAAACTGTTTGCCACCCCTGCTATAGAGCGTCACTCAAGTAAATAACAGGATAGATAAAAAGGGGTGGGGTTACTAGACTTGAAGTCTTTTTTTTTTTTTTCTTTTTTTTGGTTCAAATGGTCATCATAAAACGAAACACAAGAATATTAGATTTTTGAATACATGTTATTGTTAACATGAATGTATCTGCAAGGAATGATCCGCGATAATCCGTCTCTTCAGCAACAGAGAAGCGGAAAAATCACGAAATTCGGTAAAAAATCCAAACGTTTTACATTAAATTTCGTGGGGACGCATCAATAAAACTCTAACAATTTGTTGCGAGTGGTTGTTTATTGCTGTTGCGAGCTGTTGAATTTTTCAGTTCGTGCGATTAAAAGTGATTTATTTCAAGCATTTTTCTGAGTTTTGCATCATTTGCAGCGATTTTATCGATAAGTTCAGACTACGACTTTCTAAATTTAGGTGTTTTTGAACATTGCTAAAACGAATATCATAATTATTAGTGGCAACGATTTTCCGACAAAGCTTCATTTAAATAACAATTGATCGGTTTGGTCACAGAGAAGACGAATGGTGTCTTTCCACTTATTTTAGAAGGTAATTTTTGTCCTTTTTATTGTTAATTTTCGTTTTGCCCAAATTCAATCGAATTGTTAAAGATTTGTGATTATTAAAGAAAAATGAAAATTAATAAATACATTAAATTGTCATTCCTCGTTATGGTTTATATACACATTATTATTCCATTTGAAATTCACACAGATATACTCTAAAATTTAATTAATTATGGCTTAGTAAACAATAGTATTGTGTTATATTCCAAAGACACATGGCAATAGATGAAATTAAGACAATAGGAATATTTTTTTAATTAATGCAACTTCTATTTTTACAACAGTCGCTTCTTTTTCATTGCAAAATAGATAATTTCAGAGTTAAGAAAGTGGCACTCTTCGGGAGATGATAAGCAGGAGGAAACTCCTGCTTATCATCTCCCGAAGAGTGCCACTTTCTCCTCTATCTCCTCCTCTTCCACATCCCTTCGAGTGATTCGAGTGCTTCCGAAAGATGTCGAGGAAAGCGTAAGGCAGACCTCGCCTACACTCGACAAGGAACGGGCAGTTGTCATATCTCCGAATGAAAGCACCTCGTCTGTGGTCGAATACCTGGGACGACGATACTCGGAAGTTGCGGAATGGATAGAGGAGAGGCTATCGCGCGAGGTAGGGCTCGACGGACAAGAGTCGAAAGGGATTCTGAAAAAAATCCGTCAAGAAGCTTTGGTGGAAAAGGGTTTTCTTTTTCTGCTGAAAATAAACATTTTCTCCGCCGAGGTTAACTTCCACCGAAGTCGACTTTGCCACGCGCAAATGACTTTTCACTGGACTATAATTTAATGAATTGGACTCGGGTTTTCATCTGGCTTAATTTCTTTCCTTTCCACTTTACGAACAGACACTTCCGAGGACACATTTTCCCCCTCCGATTAAATTAAAGTCTACAGAACAACAACGGTGTGATGTCTATCGTCGCAAAGTGACGACGAAAACATAAGGCAGTGTTTCTCGAGTTTAAAGACTATTGTTTAAACTACTATAACAGGCCAAGCTGGTTTATATTACGCAGACATTTACACTGTATTTAAACCGGTGTGCTACTGCTAACAAATGATAGAAAGTGGCTACTCGTATGCACTATAAATCGACGTTAAACTCGAATTAAAAATTAAAGAAAACACATTGTAATCGGTATTTGTGCAAACCTGAAATATAGTTATTTCAACAATTAAATTTGTAAATAGAATTGTCTTAATCCCGCGATAATCTTTAAGCACGGTTGGTCCCTGCTAACGTAATTTAATTTCAGAAATGGCCTAATGTTCCCCCTGTTCATCGACCGCATCAATCAAGTTGTGTGGAAATATGTCGAGATAAGATATGACGTATAATAACTGTTAGTAAAAAAGAATTATATTAAACTAAAGCATGTGTCGATATAGCAAACTATCTATGAACTGGAAACATTGTGTAATCCACTTGAAACAAGTAGAAACCTGTTTTCAGTTGCCCGCCAAGTTATGGATGAGAGAACAAGTTCATGTATATAGTCTTAGATTAGAATAAAGTTTAATTTTAAGTTAAAGGACTGCCTCATCATTGCTCTAACAGTAAGAACATTAGCTCTGACACTAGAAATTGGTGGTTATTACCCAGAAATTCAGTCACCACAGCTTTGAATGAATGCCAAACGAGTAGGCTTCATCTTTGACTCAAAGATTTTTGTTTTTAAGGAGGTATTTTTTTAGGTTTACAAAGATTCCTTCCTTTTAATTCACATTTTATTTTAAAAAATTGAAAATAGTTGCGCGATGAAGAATTTTGACGGTCACTTTCGCATTGTGTACTCCAAAATACATAATAAACGGTGTTATAATGCATACCATAAAGCTATAACGCCAAAGTTATAGCTTTATGGGACAAATTTGAATTAGGTGGCTCCATGTATAGTGTTGACTCGAGAATTTTTTCTTCGGGGAATGTTTTCGGGGAGAGATATTTTCTCATAAAAGATTGGTTTGGTGCCACCTGTCAATAGGGGTCCTAGCCAGTTGTTATTCCTTGTCCGTAGGATAAGGCGCCACTCAAAAAACATTGTAAATACAGCTATTTGGGATGCAATTTGAAAAAATTGTAGACCTATAAATTTCCATTGTCGCCTGTTTGTTCGTCTGACCGTCTCTGTTTTCTTAACCATAAATATAATAGTGAAATAGATAAGTAAACTTCTGAAGTTCGCATATCTATTTCACTATAACATTAACAAAAAATACACAAATTCATTCATTTCTTACTTTTTGTAACTTAATTTCAATGCATGGTCGAATGTTGTTGAGGAAATCAGCATGTTGTAAATCATCAAGATATATGAGCAAATCGCGAAGAAATTGCAGATATTCAAGAATATTTCTTTGATTATCGGGTGTTCAATCGACTAGAAAGATGTGAAATGATAATATGAGTTATAGTATTTTATTTTAAAATATAAAAGCTGTAGTACTCTAACAACAACAAAAAAAAAAGAGAGCTTTGTGTTTCATATTACTTGATATTTAATTACGCTACAAATGAGGGCATTCTTTGCTTATCAACATTTCTTATCTGAAATTTCGATCATCTCATTACTAAGATTAATAAATTAAAGTAAAATACTAATTAAAATTTACTTTCATTCTTATTTATAATTTGAATACATTTAGAACAATCTATAAAATGTTTGGCAGAATATCAATCAGTTACTAGTACAACAGCACGCAGGTGATTGTCATCAAAGATCCCATTATCGAGGGGTGTTTGTTTCTTCCATTCTTTGGATCCGGTCTAACGTATAACAATGGCTGCGTATAAACTTTATACGATGTTTCTATGTATTTTACCCTTCCTAGTGAAGGGAAATCCAGAAATGGAATTAGAGGTATTTGGTAATGAAACGATTATGGATCATTATCGGAGGTTAAGACAACATTTAACAAAAGATTATGACGTTAATGCTCGTCCTGTTAAGTATAACACTAATGTCACAGTAGTTAATGTATACACGATTGCTTTCTCTATCATGAATGTGGTAAGATATCTATTAGTTTCGGTTTGAATAATTGTATAAAATTAATTTAAATATTTACATTTATGTTTTCAGGATGAAGAGAAACAAAGAATGGATTTCGATTGTATATTCTTTTTCGTAAGTTTGTATTTTCTTGATCGTAACAGAAATTTTTATACAGATAACATAAATTATATTAAGTGCTCAAATTAATCTAGTATAAATTTACCGAAAAACTGACTAGCTTTATACTATTATAAAATTTTGATTTAGATTTGGAATGATGAACATTTGAGTTGGAAAAAAGGAAAATTTAATAATATTTTAAAGTTAGAAATGTCACCAAATTCTATATGGAAACCTGATATTTTCGAAATACAGTCAGGGTAAGTAAGTTTAATTTTCGAAAGAAAATACACTGAAACTTCCTATAACGGACATCTCTAAATACACACTATTTCTGAGAAACCTAATTTGAATAAGTAATCTCCATACAACGGCCACCTCCGAACACAGGACATTTTTTTTATATTCTCGTCAGGTCGCCGTTGTTCAGAGGTTTACTGTATTATTATTACTTTCTCTACTCTTTTATAGAGGGAAAGTATGGTCATCGAGCGAAAAATGGTCTTCAAGGTTTTTGCATTTTTCGATTCAAGAGACCTGGAAACGTCCAGATATGCAAAAAAAATTGAGGATTTTTTTTTGTTTGTATGGATGTTTATGTATACTAGTAGATAAGCCCGGCGTTGCTCGGGCAAAACGTAACGATAACGAAGATTAAGATTATTACATTACAGCCAATCTTACCCGTTTTCAAAGAATGCGAGAATTAGGCCCCCCTGTTTCCAGACTAATTAGAGAATTTTTAGATAAGTTAAAAAATGTTCGATTTCCCGCAAAAACAAAAAAACTGCATCTGTGTCTGTATATCTTGCACGTCGCTTTCTCTTAACATTTCCATTGCTAACACTTCCATTGTCAAAGCCTTAATCCTGTCCCTCTTTCCCGGGGAGGAATTTCGAAAAATCCCTTCTCAGTGTGCGTTTTCGTAATGTACCCTAACTGTGTACCAAATATCAATTCCTATTATTATTATTATCAACCAATCTCGATTATATATTTAGATGTGTGAAGGTACGAGTTTGCTCATCCTCTTTGATGGTTGATAACTCCTTTGTCTGTTATCAAATTGTTTATTCAAACCTCCTTGAAAAATTTCAAGGAGGTTTGAATAATAATGGAATTGACACAATTATATTTCGATGGTTTTATCTAAAAGGTTTAAAGATCGAGGGAAGAGATAGAGGAGATCATCTATACTAATATTATAAAGAGGTAATGTTTGTATGTATGTATGTTAGTTTGTATGCAGCAGGTAATCTCCGAAACTACTCATCCGATTTCAAAAATTCTTTCACCAATATTTAGAATGGAACTTCAGGGTGGATATAGGCTATATATTATTCCGTTAAACATGGGGGATGGACAGTTCTTTACGGTAAGCCTTACGGAAAAGGTTACCGTAAAGAACTCTGCTTCTATTTATACCATTTTAGATGCAGTTTTTTCCGTTTTTGATT